AGAAGCTAAAAAATATTAAGCATGAACTCCCAATTAGAATAGAGCCTTCATAGATGTTAAATGTCAAACTCTCACTATATATTCTTGGGTTAAGTCACTTCTGGCTCAGTTGCTTTATAGGCTTACTAGACAGCAGTTTGATGACAGGTATCCTCAGCAATAGTACAAATAACTAGACTTTTTTTTTATATCATCACTATTAATTACTTGGACTACTATAATGCATGGGAGGATTAAAAACTGATCAAAAGCAGCAAAGAAAGCAGGTAAGAAGAGAATACACTGAAAAATATCAACATAGAATGATAAGAAAAGGAAAATGGAGAAAATAACAGCAAGAATAAAACGAATCACCAATAAGTAGATGATATCCATGAAAATACACAACCAAATTAAAGGTTTAGAATGTAAGCTAATGTGTTTGCATGTCTTTACTATGGCTTTCTAACTACAAAAACTAGCTGAACCATGAATAGGGGACTTAATGAAGAAGGTGAGTGAATTTTATCTTCTAAGACTGTCAGATAAAAAAAAGGAGAGAGCGAGAAAGGAATCAGAAGTTTAAATGAACTTTCAATTCTACATTATGGTGTATGTTAAAACAAAAGGACTGTCGTTAGTAGTTATAAAGATTTCACAAACTGAAAGAAAATTACAAATCTCTTTTCATGGGGGAAAATTACAAAGGAAGTGCTGTAACAGAAACACTAAGCAAAATTATTTAAAATTGAATACCACTCTCAATTCATAGCTTTCCTTAACTACTTTAACCTTCTATGAACTGGATCACAAATGCCTAAGATATGGTCATATTTCTTTTAATCTCAATAAACTTGATACACACACACTAAGACATAATCTGTAAGTTACAGCTCAACAGATTGACACTATTACAGAAAAAGAAAGAAAGAAAAAAAGAAGGAATATGTCTCACTACTCACAATGCCGCAGAGTGCTGACGTAGCTGTTGCAGGTGATGTGGAGCAAACCTGTAAACCTAACAGGTAAGTGAGGGTCTTCCCTGTTATAGGTATCCCAAGCACACTCGTCTGTGCGACTCGAGGAATATCAAATAGGTAGTTCACGAAGAGAGGAAAGATCATACCATACCTGAAAACAGGGACTTATTTGAGGGGCACAAATATAATACCATGAAATACCCATTTACATACATATACAGAAATAGACAGAGACAAGAGGAGGAGGAGGAAAGCAACAATAATTTGTATTATTTATGAAGACTAATTTCCTTATCCTTTAGTAGTTATAACAGAAATGAAAAGCAATAACAACAAGAAAGAAACCTTAGATGATCTCATGTCTTATACAAAGAAATGAAGGATTAACCCAATCAGAGTGGATGGCATGAATACATGCCATGCCCACTGAAATACAATTTCATTTATTGTCTTTATACATAGTTCTACAAATGCTTAGTTACCAAGGAGTCAGTTATTAGTCCTACCTATCTCACTATTTACCTTTTTCCTTGATTTTTGGAGATTTTTAAATATTATTTTACTGTCTATTATATTATTACTTTTCTAATAACAATTTAATAATCATTATATAAATAAGAATAATAAAAGTATCAATATTAACAGTATTAGAAAGAAAAACACATTTTTCTGCTAATTCAAGGAATGGGGAAATCACTTGTTATCCTTGATTTTCCTCTGATATATAAATAATAACTCATACATATACCTGAATATATAATTTGTACCTCTCCCTCATTCCTTACTCCTCTCTCTCTTCCTCTCCCTCCTTCAGTCTTTACCTCCTTCTACCATCCAGCTCCTTTCCTTCCTCCCCCTCCTTTCCTTCTACCTCCTCCCTTCCTCCCTTCTTTCTCTCCTTCCATTCTCCTCCCTTCCTCCCTCTCTTCATCCCTCCCTCCTCCTATCTCTTACTCTCTACAAGTGTCACTTACGGTCCAGGAGGCAGGAACCCCCCTGAATGTAGGTCTATTGCCAGCCATTGCAATGTAAGTATGGTGAGAACTTCTAGCACTGTTGTAAGAACCTGCGAAGCCACCAGACATGATGCGAACTTGTGCGACCCGTACCGTCGCTCAAACACTCTGGGGGGTTTTGGTAATGTGGAATGTAAAAAAAGGCATATGGTACAAAAACAAACAAATGTTTATATGTATAAAAATATATAATATTTGAAATAGAAGTGGCATAGTTCTCCCAGTGGTAACAAACATTACTATCAATACTTAAAAACAAAAATATTTATAATTTTTCATAAGATAAGACAGTATTCCCTGAATTCACATTAACAAAAACAACTCCAAGATAATGAGTGATACATTATCTTCAGGGCATTTTAAATGTCACTGGGTATTCTTCCTTTGGGAAGACACTATCAAATATTTACTCCTTCCTTTGTCTATATATAAAAGGCACTGATTAACAGCTGAGCATGAACGTTAGGTATCAGCTGAATTTCTCTCTCCACTATTACACAAAATGAATCTTGGACACTTTCAATGAACAAACTTAAATGAACTGGGTTGCGAAGCATGTATGCACTAACTTATGGTAAACTCTTACAACAGGACAGTTAAAGTCACTTCCCTTACCATGGGTAAAGATGAATGATAAAATCAGTAAAATATCTAGTTTTACTTTGGTATAAATAGTGCATCATACTCAACTTTTTTCCTATCACTGCCTCACACTTTGTATCAACGTCAACACTCATCTGATCAAAAATATGTACCTTATCATAATAGGAGCTTGAATAATACCCAGAAATCAAAACAAAGTTCCAATAGTACAATAACAAGGTACTTACAGTATTAATCAAATGTCATCTATAAATTTCTAAAATGCAAAAGTATAATCCAAGCTATCTTTTACATGTTTTCATTTTGGAATAACTGACAAAAGAAACACACATTTAGGTGATGAAAACTTACCTAAAATAATAAATAAGTAAGGAACCACATACTAGATCCTTAGTGTCAACAAAAGAAATCTTTGCTGAAGCTATTCGCCATATCTGGAAAGAAAGATATTCTGTGATAAATTTATAACCAAATATTTTTTCAAATAATTTCATCACAAGATTTACTTATTGATTAGCAACCTGCCATTGAAACATGCCTTCTACTAAATGCCTTTAAAATTCATTTAATCTTCCTTTAGTTAAACTAAAATGTATCTAACATAAAAAAACACAATTCTAAATCACTGTTCACAGTATTCCAAAATAAAATAAGTGTATTAAAGATGGTATCCAAATTTTAAATTATCTTCATATTACTACAGTAAATATAACCAAAGTTTCTACACAACTACTGTATACAATCTACTACTTTACAAATACATCATCAGTAGTTAAAGCATCAATGGAATAACTACAGAAATACATACCTCTCCTTTAAGAAAGACATCTGGGATTTTGCATATGAGGTATTTTCTTAAATGTGCAAAGAGTGGCACATTGAGAGCTGTACATGTCAGGAACATGCATCCCATGAGTCCCTTGCTAACTGGTGCATTATCTGGAAAATACAAAACTTAATCTCATTTTGTGTGTGATCAGAATCTGAGTATATAGAAGTGACTGTTTAGTGCACTAATGTGTTAGATCATGTCCTTTTACCCCTTTTTTATAATTTAATTTTCAAAATATTATTAACATCACTAATAGCAATGTAAGATAAAAAGGAAAAGG